CCCTTCTCAACTTTTTGGAAGGTTTGTCCAACATACTGCCTTTTTTTCAGTGGTTATCATAGAATGTGTGTTACCACTTCTAAGTTAAAGTCTGAAATTAATATTATTGCCCTCTCTCCCCAAATAGCTAGTTATTGCCTGGTATTTGAATTCTTTTCCACCACAAATTATACATTATTTTAATTTTTCTTATAATTAACGTTTGTTTAGATTTCATCACATTTTACCATATCTGTGTTTACTATTCCTTTTTATATTCCAGTTCTTTCTGGGATAATTTTCTATCTGCCTAAAGTGAATTCTTTGAAATTTCCATTAGGGAAGATTCGGTGTTGGTAAATTTCTTAGGTGTGAAAATATATTTTGCCTTATTCTTGAAATGTAGTTTTCTAGGTTCAGATAGTATTTTCTCTTGGCATGTTCGAAGGTATTATTCCCCTGTTTTTACTCGCTTTCAAAGTTACTGCTAAGAAGTTAGCCATCTAGATTGTTCCTTTAGAGATGGTCTGACTCTCCTCTGCCTGTTTTGAAGACCTTCTCTGTGTCTTTAGTATTTTGCAGTTTCACAGTGTGTGTCATGTGTGGATTTTATTTACACAGCGTGGGATGGAATGGGTGTCTTGGGTCTTTCAGGAGCGCTAGAGCAGTGCAGTTCAGTAGAACTTTCTGTGATGCTGCAAATGTTCTCTGTGCAGTCCTATATGGCAGCCGCCTGCCTCATGTGGCCAATAAGGACTTGAAATGTGGTCATTGTGACTGAGGAACTTTGTTTTGATTCTTAATTTAAATGGCCATGTGTGGCTAATGGCTATGTATTGGGAATCACAGTCGTAGAAAATTCCCAGTGATGATTATTTCATGACTATTGCCTCGCTCCTACTCTCTTTTTCTGGAACTCTAATTAGCATGAAAATGTCCAACAGACATATAATTTCTTAACTCTCAACCTGTTAATGTTTTCTTTGTGTTGCATTCTGGATACAGTAAACCCTTGATTTTGCAGATCTCAATTTAATGGACTTCAGGTTTAATGGACAAAATTTCCGGTCCATATGTCTGTCATATGTGGAAATTAACATCCTGTTAATTTTGAAATGCTTTTAACCAAGATTAGCTTATAACTAAATTAACAGGGTTTTTTTTTTTGTTATCAACTCACTGTTATTTTTAACAAATTTTAGCAAATAGGCCATATGTTGGAGAAAACACTGTAGTAACTTCACTGACATAAATTATTATTACATATCTATACCTATAGTCTACATATTTAAATCCAAGAGTCACTACACTTATAAACGATGTTTGACAAATGATTAGCACTTGATCATATTGCATCGCACTAGACTTTCTGCAGCAGTTTTAAAACGTGCTGGCTGGTTTCCTGACGTGCACTAAACCATGTCCCTGCCACGTGCATTTGTTTATTCTCCATGACTGGTGCATGCACACATTTGTTAGATCTATTCAGTATAAATTTAAAATTACAGTAATACATATAGAAAACTTCTCTGTGAAATTAAACTTTTCAAGCATACACAATTTTAATTACACAAATGTGTCTACATAAGTAAAAACAGGTAAACTAACCAATTTGTCAATTTTTTAACACATGCATTCGGAAAACCTACTTTATTATGTAGCGGACTTTCTGTGATGCTACAGATGTTCCACATCTGTGCAGTCCCATATAACGGACTTTCGGCTTTAACTAAGGCACCCCCTCGCCTGAGTTAGTCTGTTATACTGAGGTTTTACTTAATTTACTGTAATTCCTTTTGACTCTTACCCAACTGAAAAAAGGACAGGTCACTGCTCTTTTTTTTTTCTTTTTTTTTTAAGTTGGGCCTAAGCGTCTGTTTTATCCATACCGTTAGTTTTTAGTTATATTCTGGTTTTAGATATTATATTTGATTCTATTTCAAATCTGCTTGGTCATTCTTTGTAGTCTCTCATTCTTTCCTCACATTTTTAAGCCTCACTTAAGCATAATAAACATTTATAGTTTGTGTCTGGTAGTTCTAATACCTGAGTTCTAATTTGCCCATCTGTTTCTTCTGTTCATTCTCACTCATGGTGCCTTGTTTTCTGGTTTGTATTATTATTTATTTTATTTTTTTCTATGA